GAGCCACTGTACTTTGCTAGCTGCTGAATGAAGGAGGAGGAGGAGGAGAAAGAAAAAAGAAAGAAGATGAAGGAAGAAGAAGAAATCTCCTTCCAAAGAGGGGTTAGTCATAATAGTAGTCTAGAAAACCAGAGTTACAACATGAAAAGTTGGCCAGTGCCCAGCCAGGAAAGGAAAGAGCCTTAGCCAGGAAATTTGGGGAATTTCCAAGCTCACTGAGGAGTCCATCCTGGAGCAGACATAGATGCAGGAAGTTGTAGACAGCAGTTGTCAAGTTATCTGATTCCACTGATGAAATTATCCTTAGTACGAGCCTTAGCTCATTGCCAATAAACACTTGGAACCTATGTTAAACTTCCTTTGTTCTGTGTTCATCAAGCAACCCCTTCCATATTTGACATTACATTTTGCCTTTAGGGAGAGAAAGTGCTGGTCACAAAGACATAAATGTTCTGGTATTTTGGTCAGCATGATTGGTTTTTGTTCACTTATAAGTTAATAAACTAGTGTTTCGTTTTGTCATATCAATTTCATAAATTTGGTTCATGTAAGTTTGCCCTAAATGATGTATCTATTTCATGCTATGATGAAAATCAGGTTCTGGGCTTCCAAAATCCAAAGTCAGACCCAGGGCCACGACAGATTCTCCAAAATCAGTATTATCTGTATCTGTAAGGCCTTGAAGTATATATTTTGCCTGGATGAGAGAACTTCATATTACCTCATAAGCTCACACTCACCACAGATACACTCCTTTATTTACTATCTCTTGCTATTTAATAAATTGCTCCTAAATTTAGCAGCTTAAAACAACAAACATTTATTATTGTATGGTTCTGTGGGTGGGAAATTTAGAAGTGGCTTAGCTGAGTGATTTTGACTCCAGGTCTTTCACAATGCTGCAATCAAGAGGTTGGCTGGGGCTAGGGTCAACTCAGAGCTCAACTAAGGGCAGAACTGCTTCCCAGCTCATTCCTATGGCTAGAAGCAGCCCCCAGGTCCTTGCTGGCTTTTGGCTGGGGACATTGGTTCCTTGCCACATGGGCCTTTCCATAGGGCAGCTCATAACAGGAACCCGGCTTCTCTCAGAGTGAGCCAGCAGCAGAACAAAAGGGTGAACAAGGCAGAAATCACAGTCTCACAGTCTTTTTGTTACCTAATCTCAGAATCGACATGCCATCACTGTTACTGTATTCTATTCATTAGAAACAAGTCACTACATCCAGCTCACACTCAAGTGGAATGGACCCCAAGGCCATAAGGATGAGGAGGTGGGGAATATTGGAGGCCATCTTACAAGCTGCCTGCCACAAAATCATTTTCACATTCAAATATAGAAAAGCATAATATTTTTCTTCTAAAAGCTAGCCAATATTTCATTGCAATGACTATTAATGCCGTAACAGTTCATATTTGCTCATCTGTTCCATTGCTTCACAGAGCAGCAAACCTGGAAAAAAGGAACAAGAAAAAGTATGTTGTTGACACAGGAAGAACAAAGTAGGAATAAAAGTTAAAAACTTAAAACAATTACACATGTGTATGAGAATTTATGATACGAGCAAACTGGCATTTAAAATCAATGTGGAGGACGTGTGCGGTGGTTCACGACTGTAATCCCAGCACTTTGGGAGGCTGAGGCACAGAATCGCTTGAACCTGGGAGGCAGAGGTTGCAACGAGCTGAGACCGCGCCACTGCACTCTACCCTGGGTGACAGAGCAAGACTCTGTCTCAAATAATAATAAAATAAATGTGGAAAGGATGGACTACTCAATAAATGATGTTCAGACAATTAGATACTTGGTGGAAAAAAATGTGGGTTGATCCAAACTTCGCAAGTTTGGAAAATCAGTATCTTACATTTCTATCTACTTGATGTGCATAAAGAACTTCTGGAAGAATATTATATATATGTATATCCCACACATGAAAGAACTTAACTTCCATGGGATGGAAAAGACTTAGAGAAAGAAGAAACAAGGTTGGAGCTAGCACTTTCACTGTATGCATTTTTGTATTGTTTGACTATGAACCTTGTAATTATCTATTCTAGGAACTGAATTTTGAAAAATGAAAACTTTTGAATGGAATAAAGAAATAACTGTAAAAGAAAAACATGCAAGACATTATAAGAAAAAATAAATTGTATGTCTTCTTAAATAGGATGAAAATACCCCAAAGCCATAAAAAGAGAGGTTAAGTTTCACATTACTACCACTGAAATCTTCTAGATAAAAAACGTATCATAAACAAATTTAAAATACTAGTGATTGCCAGGCGCGATGGCTCATGCCTGTAATCCCAACAATTTGGGAGGCCAAGGTGGGCAGATCATCTGAGATCAGGACGTTGAGACCAGCCTCATCAAAATGCTGAAACCCCTTCTGGACCAAAAATATAGAAATTAGCCAGGTGTGGTGGCACCTGTAATCCCAGCTACTCAGGAGGCTGAGGCAGGAGAATCACTTGAACCCGGGAGGTAGAGGTATCAAGTGAGCCAAGATCACACCACTGTACTCCAGCCTGGACAACACAGAGAGACCCTGTCTTAAAAAATAAAATAAAATGAAAATAAATAAATAAAATAAATAAATAAATAAGACACGGCTGACCACCTTGAAAACAATTTTTTTTCAAATTGTAGAAGAGATAAATGATGAATGTTCACAAATTACAGCATTGAGTGCAAAAAAAAAAATATTGAAAGACTGGCGATGTCAAATGGAGGAAACATAAATTACAACATTTTAACCCAGCTGCTCTACACCTTAATTGCACTAAATATAAACTCACTGGGAGCTTTGGAATGTTCTAATGGATGACAGTCTTGCCAGAAGTGTTCATTCAATTGTTCTTAGGGAAAAAAACAATATTCATTATAATGGGAAGGACCAACCAGAATCTGGCAATTCAGTAATACATGAAACTGTGACAGAATTAATAATTAACTAGATCTATATATCATTTTTATGACAATGATGGTGATGTAAATTATGATAAAATCATAAATAACATATATTTTAATTACACTTACAAATAGAAGCAACCAAGGGCAAAATCGTCCATTTCTGGGAATGATTGAGCTCCTAGGCAAGACATGCACTAGGGCTTAACCTACAAATCTTTGTATTGAAATGCATTTAGAATGTTATTTTACAGTAGAAAGGCATTCTCTTTAGAGGTGCTGCCAAGGCCCACCCAACCGAGTCCGCAGCTTCTGTCTGTGCAGAGGAAAGGACTGAGTGATAGCATCAATTCATTGTTGTTTACATGGAGTTTTTAGACTTCAAGTATTTATTAATCACAAAGTTCTATTCCCAATGCCACATTTATTTGTACATCATCTCCTACCAACTTATCTGGGGAAATACTAATATTTCTTGATAATCATTTGTAATTGGCGGTCGAGGTATACTATGTTAATCTGGAATTCTGAAACCCAAGATTTCTTTATAAAATTTTACTTCATACAGTCTATAAATTCTTTCTAATAAAATTTCTGTTGCTTGAAGAGTTTTCTAGAAGGGTCTATAACAGCATCTTTTTTCCAACATAGTAAGATTGCAACCAGCAAACCCTTAGTGACATGTGTATCTAAAAAAAATGCCAACCTAGGAGGATTCATATCAATTATGCCTGCACTCTTAGAGATTGCTTCTGACATATGCTACTGCAAAAGTTGTTCCTGGACATGTAGGGTGATAGAAACCATGATGATGGGTTGCTGTGCTTCTGCCTAAGTGTGGGGCTGGGGTGTGATGGTCTGTAGTGACAGCTGCCACTTCTTGAGCTTTCTCCTTTTTGTCAATCTATCTAATTAGATATGAGTAATTATCTAGACTGTTGTGCTTTTTGGTTCACACGGGTGAATCTTCATATACGGACTAAACATCCTTTTCCTACTGATGTAAAGTACAATCGTGGACATTTATTTATTTACGTAACTATTTGAGTCTTGCCTGGACTTTTGTGTGTGTATGCGTTTTTAGCTTAGTTTTTTCCTATGCCAGTAACATATTAGTTTATTTCATTTCTGTTTGTATTATTTTACATGGTGGTAAAATAAGCATAGTATAAAATATACCACTTTAATCAGTTTTAAGTGCACATGTCAGTGACAATTCAATTGTACAACCATCACTACCACTCATCTCTAGAACTTTTTGATCATCCCCATCAAAAACTCTATAGTCATTAAATAATTCCCCATTACCCTCTCTTCCTAGTCCCTTGTAACTTTTTAATCAGGGCTACCAAGAGAAGCTTGGAAGGAAATAACAATTTGTTAAAAAAGAATCTTTTCTAATTTTGTAATCATAGCAACTGGTTTGCTATTATAAAAGTAACACGTTTGAAGGAGCTGGCATTTGATTTTACTGTACTTAAACGTAAATAAGTTAGCATCTTGTTTCGTGAACACTGGTAGAAGACATAAACTCCTGGGTTGGAGACAAAGCACTTTATTATTCATGATCTAGTGTGAGCATCAGCATGTTTGCAAAGGTTCTCCTTGTTCCCAAGACCCAGATAGATGGGTGACACCACAGGCCCAGATGAATGGTGCACACATAGTAGGTTTACTTCACAGCTAAGGAGCACTGGGCTTTATGGAATATGCTGCTCTTCTAACAAGCAATAAACACATCTGTTCTTTGTTTCAAGTGAAACAACCTCATCCTTCATGGTTGGCCACAGCAAACCCACACCTGAGAAACGTCCTGGGTAAAGAATGCTGAGGGCCTTGCATTCTGGTATACCCAGCAGGACATGTCAGAGCTCAAAAAACAAACAAACAGCCATGGAGGATGTCTCCTCTAATATTTGCTATAGGAAATGTGCATAATTATAATCACAATAACAAAACACACTTTCTAATTGCATTACCCAGAAACTACAAGTAGCTGATTTAGTCCTACAGATTAGATCCAGAGTTGAGAGGAGCTTATGGGCAGCTGCTGGAGTCGCACCTGAAGTTCAGGTGAAAATACTATTTTTTCATGTCAACTGAGTAAGGCGCCAATATAGTAATAAGGTTAGAAGTAGGAATATCTCACATGAAAGTGTGAAAACCCAATCATTATGCTTATGAATCTTAAAAGGATTCAGGTGGTATTTCTGAAAAAAATATTCCTGCTAGGACAGCTGAATTTCCTCACATATCTTTGAGCTCACTACTTGGGGTTGAGATTAGTCTTTCAGGTTGAAGTCACTAAAGAACCCATTGTCCTTTTCCCTAAATTTCAAGGACTGTCCTTCAGATGTGTCAGAGATAGCATTGTCTGTGAATACAGCGAGGGCTTCCTTGCATAGCTGCTTTAAGATTGTCTGCTTCTAAGCCTTTGCCTCTTCCCAAGCATGTAGTCTGAGCCTGTCACAACAAAACAGGTTAGAATAAGGCTTTATCGGGCCGGGCGCGGTGGCTCAAGCCTGTAATCCCAGCACTTTGGGAGGCCGAGGCGGGTGGATCACGAGGTCGAGAGATCGAGACCATCCTGGTCAACATGGTGAAACCCCGTCTCTACTAAAAATACAAAAATTAGCTGGGCATGGTGGCACATGCCTGTAGTCCCAGCTACTAGGGAGGCTGAGGCAGGAGAATTGCTTGAACCCAGGAGGCGGAGGTTGCGGTGAGCCGAGATCGTGCCATTGCACCCCAGCCTGGGTAACAAGAGCGAAACCCCGTCTCAAAAAAAAAAAAAAAAAAAAAAAGAATAAGGCTTTATCGCCACAGCAGGCTATCTATCCACCTTTTTTTTTTTTTTTTTTGGATGGCATCTTGCTCTGTTCCCCAGGCTGGAGTACAGTAAAGCAATCTCAGTTCACTACAATCTCTGCCTCCTGGGCTCAAACGATTCTCCCACCTCAGCTTCCCGAGTAGCTGAGAGTACAGGCACCTGCTACCACGCCCAGCTGATATTTGTGTTTTTAGTAGAAATGGAATTTTGCCATTTGGCAAGGCTGGTCTCAAACTCCTGCTTTCAAGTGATCTGCCTGCCTTGGCGTCCCAAAGTGTTGGGATTACAGGAGTGAGCCACTGCGCCTGGCCTCTACCTTCAATTCTGAGCTCAGAAAACTCCCTGTTTCTCAAGCTTTGAGGCCTATTCACTTTGCTTTATCATGTATTCATTATTAATCCTTCTTTCATTCTGTTTAGTAAATATAGTTGAAGTTACTACTAGGCTGGGAGCTCTGCTATGTAATGAGGGTACTTGCCGCCTGCCCTCAGGACACCAAAGCTAAGGAAATCTCATGCAAATTTTTTTTTTGGATGAACTCTGGAATGTTGAATGGAAACAAACCAAGTGTTTGCTATGCTGTTAATCAACTATGATACGTAATTTGCATGTGTTTTTTAAAAAAAGCCAAATAAAACCCGATATTACCATTCAAAATTAAATTTGCAGGAAAAATAATTGCTTTATTATGTAGTATGTTTAAACATGTTTATATGCCTTGAAATTATTAGCAAAGATGCACTTGTGATTTTAAAAATATAACAAAAAGTGAATTAAATTGTATGAGAAAACATCAACAGATCTCTTGATAGTCTTTTTAGAAAGGATGAAAAGGTCCAGATTGAACAACTAACTAAAACTTAGCTCTTAGAATCTAATGACTTAGGTTGTATTTTCTGCCTTTCCCATGCCCAAAGGAGAGAGAGAACAGTCACTTAGGTGACAGCCCAGGCTAGCCGTGTTTGTGCTCTCAGCATTAAAGCTCATTACGTTGGTACGAGTGAGCTGCAGGTCCAGAAATACCTCTCCAGTAGCGCACTTTAGAAATAATCCCCCCTAGGGTAGTCATATCACTTGTGTTCGTTGTAAAACACACCACTCACTTTTTGCTGGTGATAAAATGATTACTTCATTGATGTTTTTGGAAAAACTGCAGCAACATACTGTCTTAACAAATGCTTTGAAACAAGTTTTTTAATTTTTAAAGAAAAGTGTTTTGGACACCATTGATTAGTATTTATTTAAGAAAGTTTTATGGGCATGGTGGCTCCTACCTATAATCCCAGCAGTTTGGGAGGTCAAGGCAGGAGGATTGCTTGAGCCCCGGAATTCAAGACCAGCCTGGGAAACATAGAAAAACCCCCATCTCTACAAATCATTTCTTAAAAATTAGCTGTCTGTGGTGGCATGTGTCTGTGGTCTCAACTATTCAGGAGGCTGAGGCAGGAGCATTGCCTGAGCCTGGGAGTTTGAGGCTGCAGTGAGCCATGATTGTGCCACTGCACTCAAGCCTGGGTAACAGAGAGAGAACGTGTCTCAAAAATAATAAAAAATGCCTATTAGAAGCCACTAGATTTTAGCCAATAGTATTAACATTCCTTAGGTCAGCTTATCAGAAAGGATGTGAAATGCTTGCAATTGTAGGGACAGAATTTTGCAGTGAATAAACCTTTGACGTGGCAGAAATCTAAACAGTATTTGATTAAGGCTACGACCTACCCTTTCCTCTACTGGGGAGACAAACCTGAGGGCCCTAGTCTGATGGGTGTTGGCACCCAGCCAGCCAAGGGAGTGTGTTCGAGTCAAGGCCCTGCTCCAGAGAACTCTGTTACCTATTATTAATAGTTCCCAATTTATAAAAAGAACATTAGTTAAATAACTGTTCAAGGTCACTTTGCTCGCCAAATGAGTGATGAGAGTTTGATTCAAACCAGGCCTATCAAATCCCTAAATCTGTGCTTTTCAGGGCTGGGAAGAGAGAAAGTTTGCTAAGGTAGAGATCAGAGGGTGGAACACCAATCCTTACCCCTTCCCTGACCAGCCAGAGCAGCTCTGACTGAGATCACATTTGAAGAAATCTTTTTGCTGTTAAGAGGAAAAGAAAAAAAAAGAAGGGGAAAAAAGGAAAGAAAAGAAAGGAAAAATTCTAGCCTTGCACTACTCTGAGATATTTTGAGGCTGAATTAAATAAAACCAGATGTTAATTTATTACCAAAATTCTCAGCCTATAACAGTGGTTCTCAAATCTTGTGTACTTAAGAATTCGATTGAGTGCTTGTTTAACCTGGAGAGTCTTAGGCTCCACCCTTAGTGATTGGATTGAATAGATCTGGTCTGGGGGGAAGCACGGAATTTGCAATTATAACAGGTGTCCCAGGAGAATTGGATGCAGGTGGTAAGAGAACCTCATTTTGAAAAACTGAACAAAGATGTTTTGGGAAAAAAAAAAGAGAGAGAGTGAGCTCCAGAAGTGCTGCTCTCTTTTGAGAGCCTTCTGTGAATGACTCAGCAAGGCCTGTCTTAAATTGTGGGTCTCTTCCCTGGTTTGACTATGGAGAGAGAGTAGATATCGTCATGGAAAGGAGAAAGTGAGTTTTAGGACGCCATCCTTCACTTGTAAGGGAGGCTACTGAAGAGGGGAAAAGAGAGAAAAGCTCCAAAGTGATCTGAAGCCAGCAGAACACATGAGCAGAAACAAAAGAAACGAACAGAGAAATTTTCCTCCCTGAACAATAGTGGGTAGAATTTCTTAGGAACTCAGAGGCAGGGGCACGTTGCTACCCTATAAATCGTGGCCTGACAGGCAGTCACAGGCCTGTTCCTTTCAGCAGAGAGAAATGTTCAGAGAACAGTTCCTGCTTGTACTCAACATCATGACCCCGGCAAGGCTTCACAACAAGAATATGAGCTCCTGGAAGCATCAGTGATGAGGTTGGTGGCAGCCCAGATTTTTGTTGCAGAAGCAGCTAGATGCAGTAGCCTGTAGGTAGAGGGAGGGTGAAGGTAAATTCGCTGAGGATTTCATATAACACTGAACACATCATAGTCCATATCAAGTTCATGTCCTTGATGACACAAATGAGATCTGGTAGTTGTGGCCACCCATGCACGTGTGATAGAACTTGATGATTAGTTGGTTTCACTGTCTTTTCTACTCCCTGCTGTTTTCCCCAGGAGAGACATGGGTTATGAAGGCTCCAGCATTACTGAATTTGTACTCAGCTTGCCAAGGTTTGGTTCAGCTCCACATCAGGGAGGGTGCACATGGAGAGTCAAGGTCAGCCTGGACTGTCTGCATGCTGGATCCTCAAGGTCCCAAGCAAGCTGCACTAGAGAACCATGGCTGGTTTAGGAACCAGGGGTCTGTGTGTGTTGCTGGAGCATTTCCCTCAGATGCTACTAATCTATATGAACAGATAGTCTGTGAACATGAACATCTAAGCCTGCCTGTTCCCTGTCTCTTGTGTATGAGTTTTTTCCATACCCGTTTCTTACATGTCCAGAGACTCTTGGTTTGCTGGGCATCCCCACGCCAATCTCCCTACAGTGACCTCAAATTCACAATGTTCTAAACTAAATTAGCATTTCCTACCTCTGCAGACCTGCTTCTGTCTTTCTATCTTGGATGAGACAGCCACTCAGCTGTGCATACCACATCCTTGGGAATCTTCATTGACTCCTCCCTCTTGTTTACCCTGATCATCCAGCTGAAACCAAGTCCTGTGGAGTCTACCCCACAAATAATCCTTATACCCATTCTCTCCCCTGGAGTCTTTGCCACTCTCAAAGAACGTGTTCTTGGCATTTTCAAAAGGACAATTGTGCATTTGTGCAAAATGTTTCTAACATTGCATTTTTTTTTTCAGTCTCCCTCTGTGAAGGCTGGAGTGCAATGTGCAGTAGCACAATCTGTCACCCAGCCTGGAGTGCAGTGGCATGATCTCAGCTCACTGCAACCTCTGCCTCCCTAGGTTCAAGCAATTCTCGTGCCCTAGCCTCCCATATAGCTGGGACTACAGGCTCACGCCATCATGCCGAGCTAATTTTTGTATTTTTAATAGTAACAGGGTTTCACCAGGTTGGTCAGGCTGGTTTTGAGCTCCTGACCTCAAGCAGTCCACCAAAAGTGGACTCAGCCTCCCAAAGTCCTGGGGTTACAGAAGTGAGCCACTGAACCCTGGTCTTGTATGATTTTTTTGCATTTGTGACCTGAATGCTGAAAATGTTGATAGTGCCACCATAGTGCTAGAAATTAACTCCTTTCTAGTACCACTCGTGGAAGCAGTGGTGCTCTGAATTAAGCTCCCCTCAGGGACGTGAAGTGACAGATTTAGAGGCACAGGAGCCATTGGATGATCTGAGCAACT